TGGTTCTGTCGAAACTTGGTCTCTGTCATAAGGGAGTAACAGAGGCTGAGGGTCTTGAGGATAATATTTGGACCGAAGAGAGATGAAGTGACAGGAGGTAGGAGAGAACTGCTTAATGGGGAGCTTCGTAACTTGTCCTCTCCTCCAAGTAAAATTAGAACGATCAAATCAAGTAGGATGAGATGGGAAGGGCATATAGCACGAATGGGGGAGAAGAGGAATGCTTATAGGATATTGGTGGGAAAGCCAGAAGTAATACTTGAAAAGAACAGATAGCAGGCCTGTAGGCTATTTCGGACGAATAACATTAAGTTGGGAGCAATGTTACATGTACACCTATTGCTAGCAACGAGTTGCTAACTAGTTACAGCGAAGGCAAGATTCTTGGTAAGCAGTTCATTGCAATGTTACGCAACAATAGAGGAGGCCGTGTTTTCTGTTGGATAGCGATCACGTGATATGCGTTTACTGTAGGTCCGTAACTGTGCCGAAGTTTTATACGGGAGAGTGAAGTTCGTTTGCAGTTAGTCGTAGCTGAGAGACTGAGCCAAGGACACGAAGCCGTTATGGAAAGGAGTTTTGAGGATTTAGCTGTGAAATATTAATAGACGTTGAAGACATTTTGCGTAATGTAGTACTGTGATATCTGGAGTGTGATATTGCTAGTTCCTGTGTTTAACTGTGTTACGAGGAGGACTATGAGTGTATGTGTGTAACAGTGAATTATAAAGTGTAAATCAGCGAAAGCACTCTACTAATTTGAAGTAAGATAATTTGTAACCGAAGTGCCAAGGATTACAGTACAACTAGAACCCGTTATTTTCGTCACGCGTACTACCGTACATGCGATAATAAATATATAGGTTAATATCTGTCTTTCAACAAGGCCATGATAGCAACATTAAAAATAATTTTCTACTGAAAATCCATTATTGCTTTCTCATCTCGATCAATGGCACACATCCACAGCAACTGATACAGCGTCATTTGCGTGAGAATCAATCCCACAAAGTTCTTGTTTCTATCAACTGTACTGACTTTGAGAATTCACGTATGTACTATTTACACATTAAATTTTCCTTTACTTAATATAAATTAGTGCAAAACAAAGAGCTGCCAACATCTAACATGATTAAGCTTTTAAACACAGCAGCATGAAATGTGACGTCAGTCTGGTTTCAATGTGAACAGACGTTTAGGTCTGTACTTAGCCATAAATAAATATTTCTAAACCATTCTGAAAACCACACCTACATTAAAGTAAGCTTATATTGAAACTAACGAAGATAATGATGGCAGGAACAACAATAGAAATGGGCTAATAATCACTGCATGAACTATAGGAGGACAGTCTATAGATTTAGTGCATTTAAGTTGGACAACTTTGATAAAAGCATACAATGTGATGATTCTGGAATCGTACATAACGAATGGTTAATCCGTTTAAGGAAGATGTCCATTTTTTCAGTGAACAGAAATAAATGTCTGTTAATATTTTTGAGTTACTGTGAGATTCACAAAATAAATGTAATATATATATATGGTGTCCCAAGAGGAATATTCCAGACGGTGGGAGGATGTTCCTTATGTTAAATTATGCCGATATAACCCAAAACACCTATGTTCAAACTTGAACGGTTTCGGAGATAAGTGTGGTCTCCTGGCGGGTCCACGCACTGTACTTGTCAGGTGCCATGTCTTATGGACGTTTGTCCTTCAGTGTGGTAATGACTGCTCACACTAGCCGCATACACTCGCATACCAGAATGCGCAGGCAGCCCTGTTACGTTAGTGTTTGCCATTCATGTATCGTGTATAGTGCTTGGAACCCTAACAACAAATATAAAATTGTGTGCGAGTTTTTTTTGTAGTTTAATTTAATGGCTTCATGTCACTAACAAGTTAGTTTGTTATGAACATTATTAACATTACAGAAAGCACATATTCCTTCCAGTATTAATATGTATCAACAAGTGTGCAACAACTATCAAATTTCCACAATTCTCTGGCAATTATGTCCGTATCCATTCAACTTTGGACATAGTTGTTTTGGGTTATTTTGGCGTACTTTAACATAAAGAACACCCTCCCGAATTCAGGCTCATTCTTCCCGGGACACTCTGTATATAATTTGGCCCATTGCCTAAGGACAGTGATGCTTAATAAGTAAAGAATAAGTTGTCAAGGAACATACCGCGAAGTAAAAACAGGAGCTTGTTAACATCAGACTAGTTGTGATGATGAACGCTCGCTCCAGCTGGAACACAAACCAGTACAAGAGATATATAAGAATTAATTCTATTGGGAACTCATCTACTGATCAAGTGACTAAGTTTCTGAAAGATACCTTTCTAAATATATGGAAATTTATTATTTTCCAAATCCCTTCGAGGAAATTAGAATGAATCTCTCTCTCAGAAAACTTTTCAATACATCATTTAGCCAAAATTGTTATTGCTTTGTAGTGAGCTACTTAGAGACTAGCTAGAGTTTATGCATAAGGTATTGCTTTTCTGAAACTTACGTGTAATACTCCTTTTCCATAAATGTATCGCCAAATAATCAAAGCTGAAAATAATAAATACAATCACATGAGAATGCTACACAGATGCACAGATACACTCCAAATTTCTCACTTGTTACAGTAATGTCAATTTCTTCTCTTTAAATGAGCAGGGCAAGCCCAGGTAATTTCACAGGATGGCATCCCCGTAAAACTCAAAGCATTATTTCACTGCCTGTTTAGATGAGTGCAATCAAAGTAACTACACATACTGGCTCCCGAATATACGAAAAGTAGGATATTAATTCAAAAAAGCTAGCGGGAATTCTCTGAAATATAGAGCAGGCGTGGGGCAAATAGTGGAATGAGAACTGGTAGGAGAAACTGGAGCACCCAGAGAAAACCCTACCCAGTGCCACTTTCTCCGTCACAAATATTAAGAGGCATTTTTTTGGTCCGTACCCGGTGAAAGAAGATGGGTGAGCTAATAACTACCTGTGCTATGACACATTTAATATTTAATATCAAATTATGTACGCTAGCAACTGTGGATCCATTGTGTCCAAGGTTAGAATTACAGTATAAACAGTGTGCATTCAACTATCGATAGTCTCACTGGTGAAAGGGGATATCATATCTGTGGGTTATGAATCACACGACAATACGGGAAACATGTTACACATTAAATGTAACTCGACTATCAGGACGGGATATTCGCCAGTTCAATGGAAAGTCACGCAGATCACGTGGTTCCGGAATCTGGTAGACCGCGGCGGAAGCCAGCTCATATAGACCTATGAGCCTACTCCCAGTAAAGAACAGAATCTTTGAAAGAGCAGTACTCAAGAGATTACGCCAGGTAGTACAAGAAACCCGACTCCTTCCGGACAGAAACACTCTACCATAGAACAAGTATACTCGGAATTGCACAGATAGTAAGAGGAACTGTACTGCTATGCGGCGCTCCCAAACATCACACAAGCGTGTGATAAAGTATGGCACTCAGGCCTCTTGTTCAAAATCAGAGGAACCTTCCCTTTGCAGACTACTAAATATTGGAATCACATCTAAAGGGTCCCATACACGTACGAGTCTGGCTCGCGAGTCCGACTCGGCTCGAGTTCCAATGAGCCAGACTCATCCGTGTGTCTATCGCAAAGTAAGGAGTCAGCTCATGCACTTATGGTGAAATTTATTTAATTGAAGCTCTTCGAGCCAGACTCGTATGTGTATGGGTCCCTTAACGGATAGAACCTATCAAGAAAATTTCAAAGACGAAACCAAAAACATAAGGAAAACAAAGCTGACGTACCACAAGGAAGTGTCTCAGGACCTGTCCTATTTCTTATCTACGCAAGCGACCTCCTTACAACAGAGAACACAAAAACTGCTACCTTCGCGGATGTTACAGCAATCTTAGCTACCCATGAAGGTACAGCGATAGCCTCAATGAAACTCCAAGCCACAGTGAATAAACTTGATTAGGCGAAGGAATGGAGAATTAAAATAAATCAAAGCAAATCTACGCAGATTTCATTCATCCTACGCAAAGAAACCTGTCCGACCGTGCAAATGCACCATGTTGAACCACCCCAGAGAGAAGTGAAATATCTGGGCATGCATCTCGATAGAAGCCTGAGATGGCCAAAGCACATCAAAACCAAAAGGAAACAGCTCAACCAACGAAATCCTCCAGTGCTTTCAATGTAAGACCGTCCGACCCATCGGAACGCACCTTTGTACGTAAACAACCACAGGATCCATGAAGATCTGCAAACGAAAACAGTGCTCAGTGAAGTAAAGAAAGTGGAATACCAAATTCTTAAGAAAATTAGAAAAGCACACAAATGCACTAGCAGTGAACATGTTAGACAATAGCGAAACTACACATAGACTGAAAAGATACACCGTCCTAACTCTACAAGAGAGACCTGAGAATAACCCCAATACAAGAATTCAAATATCTAATTGGAAACAAAAGCGAGTATGAGTTACGCCACTGGGCATAATTCACTCACGAGCCAGTACATACTGAATATATATATTGATAGGACTCTGCAGATTATGTATAATGAATGGGTGAAAAGGATGGGGTCTTGGATCGGGAATAAAGGACTTCACAGCTACTATATGTACTTTACTATATTATGTATTATACATGTAAACCTGCAAACAAACAGAATATACTGACAATGGACGCACAGTGACTTCAACAAATGTAAGTTCTGTCCTCTCGTCAGAGAGGCCGACCCACAACGAAAAAACCGTAACTGTCTGTAAGTAACTAAGACTTGGTCATGAACCCCAGAGGGGGTCAGAAACCAAAATGGACGGACTGATCGATCTTCAGTCGCGATGTGTCTAGACTTTTATGTTATCTGTCAACGACCAGTGAAGACTATAACAAACAGGGAAGTTTTTGTGCGTGCCGTATTTATTTGTAGTGTGTGTAAATTAACGAGGTTATTATAATCATTTGTAGTTACGAGTCATAACTGTTCAGTAAATCAAGTAATAAATCCGAACCCAGTGTCTAGCCACTAACGCGTGACAATATGTTACTTACCAGTCACCTTCAGGACGGCTGACACAACTGCAATCGAAATCACCAAGATGATCCCCAGAAGAGTCACATTTGCCTGAAAAAAATGAATGGGAAAAATTGATTTATCTTTTATTACATTATCAACAAAGAAATCTACAAACTAGCAAGACTACAAAACAAAAAAATTGTAGTAGAACCTCCAGGAAAGGCCAAAGCGATCCCACAGTGCATGCGATGCCAACAATATGGTCATACAAGATCATATTGTAACAAACCGTATGTATGTGTAAAATGCGGTCGGTCTCACAGCACACAGAGCTGCAAAATTCTAGAAACACGCCTGCAAAATGTGTAGTCTGTGGAGGTGCATATCCAGCTAATTACAGAGGATGTGAATATTATCACAGTTTATTGAAATAAACAAATAGCACTAACAAGGGACTAAACATTCAACAGCCCGATGACGCTCCTTGGCCTCCCTTCCCAAGCCCCTCCATTCCAGCCTTTCCTGCGCTGCTCTCTTCCAGTTCCTTACGCCGATTAGCTTCTTCCCATCTTTTTCCACATCAATCCATCTAGTTCTTGGTTTCCCAGCACGTCTCCGACCGCCTATTTGTACTATATAACATTTTCTTCGGGATACGCTCCTTATCCATTCTCTGTACATGCCCAGCCCATTGCAATCTTTTTAAGCTTTATTGTCACTGAGATCTCTGGCTCCTTATATAATTTGTATAACTGTCTATTATATCTTATTCTCCATATCCAATTCTCTTTTATTGGTCCGTAAATCCGTCTCAGGATTTTCCTCTTGAAAGAATTAACGACTGATTCCTCTTTTTTGTTTAGCGGCCAACCCTCACATCCATAATAAAGCACCGGTCTCATCATTGTTTTATATATTTTTGTTTTAATCGCTCGGTGTATATCCTTTGGTGTAAAAACTGATAGTAACGATCAATATGCCGTATTCACTAGTCTTATTCTTCTTGATATTTCATGGTTTTCCTGGAATTTCGATCCCAAAAATATGAAGTCTTCAGCTATTTCTATCCCGTCCCGTTCCGTGTTAATTTCTCCAGTTTGCCTTGGATTCCTTCTGGGGTGTATCAGCATTTTAGTTCTATTTACATTCACCTCTAAGCCAGTTGTTTTTGCTATTGATTTTATTTCTTTATATGTCTCCTTCATTGCTCCTAGGGATCTCATTACTATAATAATATCATCTGCATACGCCATTATTTGCGTTTGTTTATACGCTATTGTATTCCTTGTGTCTACATTACATTTTCTCACCATATATTCCAATAGCAAGTTAAATAATGATGTTGCCAAATTATCTCCCTGTTTTAATCCTTGATTTGTCTTAAAGCATTCTGTTAAGTGGTTCTGGATTTTAACTTGATTGATTGTTTCTGTCATGGTTAAATTAATTATTTTACATAGTTTTGCTGAAATATCAAAAGTGAACATAATCATCTTTAATTTCTTCCTTATTATGGTATCATTAGCTTGTTTAAAATTTATGAAGCATAGGTATATATCTGTATTAAAATGGGAAGGTCGACGAAAACAAGGCAGGACATCACCTGCTAGCCTACGCTGATTATGTGATTCTGCTGGGTGATAACATAGATACATCACAGAGAAACAAAGAAGCTTTAACTGATGCTACTAAGAAGAGTGCTCTAGAACTGAAGGCAGAGAAATCAAAGTATATGTTGCTGTCTTGTCACCAGAATTTAGGGGAAGATCTTGACATAAAATTAGGTAACAGATGTTTTGAAAATGTGGCACAGTTCACATATTTGGGAAGAATTGTAACAAATCAAAACCTGATTCAAGAGCAAGTTATGAGGAGATTGAAATCGGGTAATGCTTGCTACCATTCAGTTCAGAAACTTCTGTCTACCCGTCTGCTGTCTAGAAACATAAAATTTAGGATATACAAAAATGAAAATTTGTCTGTGGTTCTGTCTGTGTGAAACTTGGTCTCTGTCATAAGGGAGTAACAGAGGCTGAGGGTCTTGAGGATAATATTTGGACCGAAGAGAGATGAAGTGACAGGAGGTAGGAGATAACTGCTTAATGGGGAGCTTCGTAACTTGTCCTCTCCTCCAAGTAAAATTAGAACGATCAACTCACGTAGGATGAGATGGAAAGGGCATATAGCACGAATGGGTGAGGAGAAGAATGCTAATAGGATATTGGTGGGGAAGCCAGAAGTAATACTTGAAAAGAACAGATAGCAGGCCTGTAGGCTATTTCGGACGAATAACATTAAGTTGGGAGCAATGTTACATGTACACCTATTGCTAGCAACGAGTTGCTAACTAGTTACAGCGAAGGCAAGATTCTTGGTAAGCAGTTCATTGCAATGTTACGCAACAATAGAGGAGGCCGTGTTTTCTGTTGGATAGCGATCACGTGATATGCGTTTACTGTAGGTCCGTAACTGTGCCGAAGTTTTATACAGCAGAGTGAAGATCGTTTGCAGTTAGTCGCAGCTGAGAGACCGAGCCAAGGACACGAAGCCGTTATGGAAAGGAGTTTTGAGGATTCAGCTGTGAAATATTAATAGACGTCGAAGACTTTATGCGTACTGTAGTACTGTGATATCTGGAGTGTGATATTGCTACTTTCTGTGTTTAACTGCGTTACGAGGAGAGGACTACTGTATGTGTGTAACAGCCAATTATAAAGTGTAAATCATCGAAAGCACTCTACTAATTTTTATTAAGATAAATTGTAACCGAAGTGCTAAGGAAACCAATCATCCAACTAGAACCCGTTATTTTCGTCACGCGTACTGCCCTACACGTGATAATAAATATATAGGGTAAAATCTGTCTTTCAACAAGGCCATGACAGCAACATTAAAACTAATTATCTACTGAAAATCCGTTAGTGCCTTCTCATCTCGATCAACGGCACACATCCACAGCAACTGATACAGAGTCATTTGCGTGAGAATCAATCCCACAAAGTTCTTGTTTCTATCAATTGTACCGACTTTGAGAGTTCACGTATGAACTGTTTACACATTAAATTTTTCCTTACTTAATGTAAATTAGTGCAAAACAAAGAACTGCCAAAATCTAACATGTTTATGCTTTTAAACACAGCAGCATGAAATGTGAAGTCAGTCTGGTTTCAATGTGAACAGACGTTTAGGTCTTTACTTAGCCATAAATAAATATTTCTAAACCATTCTGAAACCCACACGTACATTAAATTAAGCTTACATTGAAAATAACAACGATAATGATGGCAGGAACAACAATAGAAATGGGCTAATAATAACTGCATCATCTATAGGAGGATAGTATATAGATTTAGTGCATTTAAGTTGGACAACTTTGATAAAAGTATACAATGTGATGATTCTGGAACCGTGCATACCGAATGGTTAGTTCGTTTAAGGAAGTTGTCCATTTTTTCTAGTGAACAGAAATAAATGTCTGTTAATATTTTTGAGTTACTGTAAGATTCACAAAATAAATGTAATATATATATATATATATATATATGGTGTCCCAAGAGGAATATTCCAGACGGTGGGAGGATGTTCCTTATGTTAAATTATGCCGATATAACCCAAAACACCTATGTCCAAACTTGAACGGTTACGGAGATAAGTGTGGTCTTCTGGCGGTTCCAGGCACTGTACCTGTCAGCTGACATATTTTATCGATGTTTGTCCTTCAGTGTGGTGATGACGGCTCACACTAGCCGCATACACTCGCATACTAGAATGTGCAGGCAGCCGTGTTACGTTAGTGTCTGCCATTCCTGTGTCATGTATAGTGCTTGGAACCCTAACGACAAATATGAAATGGTGTTCGAATTTGTTTTGTAGTTCAATTAAATGGCTTCATGTCACTAATAATTTAGATTGTTACGTACATTTTAACATTACAGAAACAACATATTCCTTCTATTTTTAATATGTATCAACAATGGTGTAACATCTAACAAATTTTAACAATTCTCTTGCAATTATCTCCGTAAACGTTTAACTTTGGACATAGGTGTTTTGGGTTATATTGGCATACTTTAACTTAAGGAACACCCTCCCGAAATCTGGCACATTCTCCCTGGCACACCCTGTATATATTTCGGCACATTGCCTAGAGGCAGTAATGCTTAATAAGTAAAGAATCAGTTGTCAGGGAACTTACCACGACGTAAAAGAAATATCCTGTTACCAGGAACACTGCAGCGATGATAAATGCACGCTCCAGCTGGAAAAAAACCAGTAGAAGAAATGTATAAGAATTAATTCTATTGGGAACTCATCTACTGATCAAGTGACTAAATTTCTGAAGATACCTTTCTAAATATATGGAAATTTATTATTTTCCAAATCCTTTCGAGGAAATTTGAATGAATCTCTCTCTCAGAAAACTTTCCAATGCATCATTTACCCAAAATTGTTATTGCTTTGTAGTTGGCTACTTAGACATTAGGTAGAGGTTATGCATAAATCATCGCTTTTCTGAAACTTACCTTTAATCCTTCATTATCGTATATGAAATGCCATGCAATCAAAGCTGAAAAATAATAAATAAAACGATATGAGAATGCTACACAGATGCACATTTACACTCCAAATATCTCAATTGTTACAGTAATGCTAATTTCTTCTGTTTAAAAGCGTAGGGAATGCCCAGGCAATTTCATAGCATGACAATCCCGTAAAACCCACGGCGCTATTTCACTTCCTGTTTAGATGAGTGCAATCGAAAGTAACTACACGTACTGGCTCCCAATTACACGAAAAGTCGGATATTAATTCAAAAATTTCAAAATTCTCTGAAATATAGAGTAGGCATGGGGCAAATGGTGGAATGAGAACTTGTAGGAGAAACTGGAGCACACAGAGAAACCCCTGCCCAGTGCCACTTTGTCCGTCACAAACATTAAGAGGCATTTTCTGGGATGGAACCCGGTGAAAGAACATGGGTGAGATACTAACCACCTGTGTTATGACACAGTCTACTCTAACCCATATTTAATATCAAATTATGTATGCTAGCAACTGTGGATCCATTGTTTTTTGCTTAGAATTACAGTATAAACAGTGTGCATTCATCTATTGATAGTGTCATTGGTGAAAGGGGATATCGTATCTGTGGGTTATGAATCACACAACAGTACGCGCAACATGTTACACATTAAATGTAACTCGACTATCAGGACAGGATATTCGCCAGTTCAATGGAAAGTCACGCAGATCACGTGGTTCCGGAATCTGGTAGACCGCGGCGGAAGCCAGCTCATATAGACCTACGAGCCTACTCCCAGTAAAGTACAAAATCTCGAAAGAGCAGTACTCAAGAGATTACGCCAGGTTGTAGAAGAAACCCGACTCCTCCCGGACAGAGACACTCTACCATAGAACAAGTATACTCGGAATTGCACAAATAAAAAGAGGAACTGTACTGCTATGCGGCGATCCCAGACATCACACAAGCGTATGATAAAGTATGGCACGCAGGCCTCTTGTTCAGAATCAGAGAAACCTTCCCTATGCAGACTACTGAATATTGGAATCACATCCAAATGGGCCCATACACGTATGAGTCTGGTTCACGAGTCTGACTCGGCTCAAGTTCCAATGAGCCAGACTCGTCCGTGTGTCTGTCGCAAAGTTGGGAGTCAGTTCATGCACTAATGAGATGGACCCTCTCAAGAAAAATTCAAAGACGAAACCAAAAACTTAAGAAAAACAAAAGCAGATGTACCACAAGGAAGTGTCTCAGGACCTGTCATATTTCTTATCTATGAAAGCGTCCTCCTGACGTCAGACAACACATCAACTGCCACCTTCGCGGATGTTACAGCAATCTTAGCCACACATGAAGGTCCAGCTATAGCCTCAGTGAAACTCCAAGCCACCGTGAATAAGATTAGGGGAAGAAATGTAGAATTAAAATAAATCGAAGCAAATATACGAAAATTACATTAATCCTACACAACCAAACCTGCCCGATCGTGCAAATGCACCATTTTGAACCACCCCACAGAGAAGTGAAATATCTGGGCATGCATCTCGATAGAAGCATGAGATGAGAAAAGCACATCATCACCAAAAGGAAAGAGTTCAACCATCGAAATCCTCCAGTGCTTTCAATGGAAGACCCTCCGACACATTGGAACGCACCTTTGTACGTAAACAACCACAGGATCCATGAAGATCTGCAAATGAAAACAGTGCTCAGTGAAGTAAAGAAAGTGGAATACCAAATTCTTAAGAAAATTAGAAAAGCACACAAATGCACTAGCAGTGAACATGTTAGACAATAGCGAAACTACACATAGACTGAAAAGATACACCGTCCTAACTCTACAAGAGAGACCCGAGTATAACCCCAATACAAGAATTCAAATGATATCTAATTGAAAACAAAAGCGAGTATGAGTTACGCCACTGGGCATAATTCACTCGCGAGCCAGTACATACTGAATATATATATTGATAGGACTCTGCAGATTATGTATAATGAATGGGTGAAAAGGATGGGATCTTGGATTGGGAATTAAGGACTTCACAGCTGCTATATATGTTATTACATTATGTACTATACATGTAAACCTGCAAACAATCAGAATATACTGACAATAGACGGACAATGACTTCGACAAATGTGAGATCTGTCCTCTCATTAGAGAGGCCGACCCATATCAAAAAAACCGTAACTGTCTGTAAGTAACTAAGACTTGGTCATGAACCCCAGAGGGGTTCAGAAATCAAAACAGACGGACTGACCGATCGTCGGTCGCGATGTGACTTGACTTTGATGTTACCTAGCAACTACCAGTGAAGACTATAACAAACTGCGAAGTTTTTGTGTGTGCCCTATTTATTTGGAGTGTGTGTAAATTAATGAGATTATTATAATCATTTGTAGTTACGAGTCATAACTGTTCAGTAAATCAAGTAATAAATCCAAACCCAGTGTCTAATCACTAACACGTGACAATATGTTACTTACCAGTCACATGCAGGACAGCTGACACAGCTAAAATCAGAATCATCAGCAGGATGCCGAGAAGAGTCAAATTTGCCTGAAACAATGTATGGAAAAATTGATTTATCTTTTATTACACTATCAACAAAGAAATCTACAAACTAGCAAGACTACAAAACAAAACAATTGTAGTAGAACCTCCAGGAAAGGCCAAAGCGATCCCACAGTGCATGCGATGCCAACAATATGGCCATACAAGATCATATTGTAACAAACCGTATGTATGTGTAAAATGCGGTCAGTCCCACAGCACACAGAGCTGACAAAATTCTAGAAACACGCCTGCAAAATGTGTAGTCTTTGGAGGTGCACATCCGTCTAATTACAGAGGATGTGAATATTATCACAGTTTATTGAAGCAACCAAATAATACTAACAATAGACTAAACATCCAACACCACGCACTAACTCAAAGTCAACCAGCTCAGTTACAACCAGGAATCACTTATTCAGGAGCCCTTAGAGGGAAGAGAAACCAAGAACAAAACATCACATACTTGGGTGAAGCAAGGGAAAATACTGGCACGTGTTTCATTACTGAAAACGCTGTTCGCATTGTTAATTGGTTTATTTAAGAACCTTCAAGTATCGGCTACAATTAATTATAATAATGTTGCTGGGGTTCACAATTTATAACCCTATTCGCAATAATCTGTTTACACTTTTGTGGGGTTTCACACTTTATAAACCTAGTCGCGATAATCTCTTCACTCTGCCTTCAGTCGTCTACATTATTCACAATACGGGAGCTACGTAAGTGTCCCTGTATCACACACTCCAAATTACGGAATTACACACACGTCCGGTTCTTCTTTCCGCGAACGCTGCTATACTCCAACTGTGGGCTGCTGCCTTGAGAACTGGTTCACTGCTGACTTGAGAACTAACTTCAGCGGCTGGTGCACTTTAATGAACTGCGGCGGCTCTGTAGTTCCTTTATACAGCCGCAGTGCTTGCCTGTTACATAATGAGTTGCGCTGTTGTCTGACGCTGTGTCGTCACCGCGGGGTGAGGGTGGTGATGCCCTCCATTGCGCAACATATCACAATATTAACAACCCGAATACAACTAATTTGTTAACCAAATTTCTTGAAGAATTTTAGCAATGTTGCAACAACTCACCCAACAAAAGAGCATTGTATCAACGTTAATATCTAAAATCAATTAAATTCCTCAGAATTGCACTATGGATCGCCGACGGCCTTCTGCAGCAAAAATATGAACTAGAGATATTCCTTCAACACAACTTCATAGACATTATGCTGATAAGTGAAACTCATTTCACTGATAGATCTTACTTCAATATACCAAAGTATTTAACCTACTCCACTAATCATCCCGACACTACAGCACATGGAGGAACTGCTATATTAATAAAAAGATCCATTAAGCATAATGAGCTCCCCAAGTACAAATTAAATCACCTACAGGCCCCAGTGATAAAAGTAAAGATGACCCTATACGAGTTAACTGTTGCTGCAGTTTACTGTCTACCAAAACATATCACCAAAAAAGAGAACTTTAATGATTTCTGGGACGCATATTTGTAGCAGGCGGAGATTATAATGGCAAGAACACATTGTGGGGATCTCGTCAAAAAAGACCAGAAGCAGAGAATTATGGAAAACACTACAAGAGCAAAAATATTTGCACTTGTCATCAAGCACGTCGACATATTGACCAACAAATCCCAACAAAATCCCTGACCTCTTGGCCTTCTTCGTTACTAATGGAATTTCTTCAGAGTACATGTATGTGGTACGCAGTCTCGATCTCTCTTCAGATCACACACCAATTATAGCCACTGTCATTAGTCATGCTANCGCTTTTCACAAAACACCAAGAAGTAAACTGCACAACAACAACAACAACAACAACAACAACAACAAACAAATTGGGAAAAATACAGGATGAAACTACAAGAAGATATAAATCTAAATGTGAGACTCAAGAGCCCAATAGAAATCGACAGCGCACTAACCTCTCTATTCAACACTATAAAACAGGCAACCCAAGATGCTACACCTAAGATCACCTTCGAAAATAACACAAGGAATGTTCCAATTGAAATTAAAAACTCATAGCTGAGAAGAACAAGAACAAGAGGAAGGCGGAGAAGTCAAGTACCAATAGATAAAACAACATATAACCATATAAGTAACAGGCTGAAGTGTAAAATTAAAGAGGCAAGAGAAAGATCCATCTCTAACCATACAACCAGCCTCAACAGATATGACAATACCATCTGGAAACTCAAAGACATCCTATAAGAAATGAAATTGCGCCGCAAACATTGTGGGCAAGAAGTGATGAAGTAGAAGCTGCTATGTTTGCTGAATATCTTGCTACAGTTTTTACACCATATGATGACCAGACTGATAAAGAAATAGAAAGGCAAATATCTGAAAATATCAGCGTTATGGTACCAGAAATAAAATTTGTTACAGTTAAAGAAGTGCAAAACGTAATAGCATTCCTAAATTCAGGAAAAGCACCTGGCAATGACGAAGTGACTCCAATAATGTTAAAAGAAATGTCAAGAAAAGTGTTCGTACTTCTCACATACATATTTAATGCTATTCTCAAACATAAATACTGGCCAAACCAGCTAAAAACAGCAGAAATAATCCCGATCCCCAAACCAGGCAAAAATATTAATAGTGTGTCATCCTATCGTCCTATAAGTTTATTACCCATCATATCTAAACTCCTCGAAAGATTTCTCTTAAAAAGAATAAGGTCTGACCCAAATACAGAAGAATGGATACCATCACATCAATTTGGTTTTAGAGAAAACCACTCCACTGTACAGCAGATACACAGAATAACACACAAAATACACCAAGCATTAGAAAATAGAGAATACTGCACATCAGTCTTCCTCGATGCATGTTCAAGCCTTTGATAAAGTATGGTATCCACGACTACTGTACAAAATAAAAAATATCTCCCCATCACTTATTTCCACTTACTATAATCCTATATAAAAGGCAGAGAGTTCAGAACGAGAATCAATGATAGCATATCTAACAATTATGCAATAAAATCAGGTGTACCACAAGGCAGTGTCTTAGGCCCACCACTTTATTTACCGTATATAGCAGACCTACCAGTCAATGCCAACACAAAAATGGGCACATTTTCGGATGATACCGTGATCCTCTCGGCCAACACAGATCCAGCAATAGCTACCTTCTCTTTGCAAAATCATCTAACTCAAATACAAGAGTGGACAAATACATGGAAAATAAAAATCAACGAAACCAAGTCACTGCAAGTAAACTTCAGTCTAAGAAGAGAACAATGTCCTGCAGTTTTTTAATAACATAGAAATATCTGAATCAGCCAGCACAAAATACTTAGGTATTCATCGAGACAACCATCTAACCTGGAAGGAACACATTAATAAAAAACGCAAACAGATTGATTTAAAAATCAGAGAGATGCATTGGTTAATTGGAAGAAATTCCAGGCTCTCATTAGAGAACAAAATCTTACTTTACAAAACAACAATAAAACCAATTTGGGTATATGGAGTGGAAATATGGGGATGTGCTAGCAAAACCAATATTTCCATAATCCAAAGATGTCAGTCAAAGATACTACGTATGATTACTAACGCCCCACGGTATGTTTCCAATATAACACTCCATGAAGACCCGAAAGTGCCGCTAGTAAAGGAAGTCATAATAGGGAAAAGCACAAGATACCTCAACAAAACAGAAGGACATGAGAACGTACTAATTCAACCGTTACTGGAACCACACAATGGACCAAGACTAAAAAGGAATTGGCCAGACGACCTGAGAGAGGGTTAACGAGGACTTATCTCTGGATAAGCCCTCTCCACGTCACGGGGAATGCTACAGCTAATTAGCTTATAGAATCAAATGTAATTCTGATTGCTAATATTATCTAAATAAAAAAAGTCTTTTATTACCAGGCAACAAATCGAGATTCTTCCGTCATTTCGCCTGTAAGTATGTTTAATCGTGAGAAATTATTTTCCATTTTCATCTCACTTGCGAGGCCTTTGCAGAAATGGCCTTGAATGACTCCATAAATGATTATCCGAGAACCGTATAAGGATTTCAGTTTATCTGTCATTTTCTCGGAAAGGCATGGTCAACACCGGATGAATAAGTAGGTTTATTCGGAGGCGTCGCCAAGAAATACAAATTACATTGACAAAGAATTTCAGAGCAGATTAAATTCGGAGAATATTTCTAGTATGTCGGCACTAATCTGTTTGGTCATGGCGGCAGCACAACTGGAAGCAGGGGACGGCTGTTTGTGTTTTGGAACTTGTATCGAGCACCAATTCTTGTTGTTGGGGGCGGGGGAGGTTACTGCCATCATGGATAAGGTCGCTGACGATGTTGCAGTGGGTCGGGTTGTAGCCGTTCTCAAGGGTATATTCAACAAAGCAGCCGTGCCGCATCTTTAAGAGACTAGTGATTCTCCGGAGAACCAATTCATGAGCCTGTTTCCCCTCCCCTTTGTGGTCATGAGATCCGCAGAGAGTGACGATACGTTTTCTTGTTGCTCTATCCATCACATGTGGACAAGGTGTGAAGTGTAGACATTGCTTTGCAGGTGAACGTACCATCAGCACTTATCCTACCCCAGCCCCATGGTCCACTGGTGATTTCGTGGTAAGTTCGCAAGGATCACCAGAGGTACCAATTTTAGCAAGGAAAAAGTGTCTTCTGTTCGAGCCTTGCAAAGTGGTTCAGTTCAGATTTCAGTGTGGAGCGTTAGCCAGAAGGCAACAACATGACCACGGAAGTTGAAGAATCTCCATTGTTAAGATTCGTTACAGGAAACGTCTAGTGAAAACACTATAGAGGAATGGCCATTGTTGGGAACTGTTAAGAGACACTTTGATACGAGTGGGAAGTCTGCGAGTTTGATTTCCGATTAGGTTATTGGATTTAAAAATTGACATAATAATTTCGGATGCACTATGGCAGTGCGGTTCGCCTCAGCTCTTAACAGAAATTAATACCAGGAATCTACTTGGGAGGTAAAGGAGGCCGGTTCGTAAGGCTGACGACCTCACCGCCATCAGTGAGCCGATTGTCTAAAAATATGTGAGCCTCGACGTCTCACAAACCTATGGGCCTCCACGACCTGTTACAGAGATAGCTTTACCTTTTCTTTCACCTTACTAAGTGACGACTTTTGAAAGCAGACTAAGAAGACTTGGTGTGGAGATATTTGTTGTGCAGAAATCAGTAAGAGTGTTAGTTATTTTTAGTTACAACCCCTAAGTGGTCAATACATCTATTCAACAAAACCAACCCCTTTCTATAGTCACTAATAAATGTGACAATCTAATTTTTATAATATGTGAATCGTAATTTTTATATATTTCTTCTGATGGAGAAATGTAACCGATCGTAACACATTTGTATACTAATTCCCACCACTAAATATCAGTGCAAATATCTATCAGAAGTTGCTTGCAGTATGAGAGGTAAGTTACATACCCTGCATTCGTTTGTGAGTTTGGGAAATGGACTGATAAAGATCGTATCACATGCTCTTGCAAATTTCTAACTGTAATATACTGGGTGTTTCAAAAAGAGCTTTATAAATTTGAAATCTTATATAAAGTTATACAGAGGGCATACACAACATTTTTAACTGTCATAATGTAGCAAAAACGCCGAGTTTACCTCGAATAGTTATGGTTCAATGTGACTTCCATTGGTAATGCGGCAGACGTCCCACCTGTAGTCAGTCTCTTGCCACACGCTACGTAGCATCTCTGGCGTCACTTCTGCAACTGAGGCAGTAATTCGAGTTCGGAGTTCAACGACATCTGCAGGCAAAGATGGTATGAACACTCGATCTTTAACGAACCCCATAAGAAAAGATCCAGGGGAGTGAGATCCGGGGAACTAGGTGGCCATGCTATCGGAGCCGCACTACCAATCCACCGACCTGGGAAACTGGCGTTGAGGTACTCGCGCACTTCTCCAAGGTAATGAGGGGGCGCGCCGTCTTGCTGGAAGTGAATGCGCCCTTCTTGGTCATCTTCGTCTAACTGTAGAATGAGGAACTCTTGGAGCATGTTCAGATATACGATACCGGCATTGGGCATCTCCATGAAGAAGAAGGGGCCGTACACTCTTTCTTTACTGAGGGCGCAAAACACGTTCACCTTGCGCTATCACGAACATGTTCCAGGGAGACACGTGGATTTTGGCTGCCCCAGATCCTGCAGTGACATGACAGTGACATCCGCTGACATGAAACGTGCTCTCATCGCTGGAAATTATGGAGTCCAGAAACTTCTCATCGTCTTGTATCCGATGAAACATCTGCATACAGAATTCCTTACGAACATCTGCATCCCGTAAGGTGTTGAACGATGGATAATGCGTACGCTTTTAAGTGTAAACGTTTTGGTAACACTCGCCACACAGTAACATTTGGAATACCAGTTTCCCGAGACGCACATCGCGTTGACTTTCGTGGACTTCGAACGAAGTTCTCCCTAATCTGTTCCACTGTAGCGTCAGAAAACACGTGGCCGACCGGGTGGCTTGTCATGGCGCACAGAACATCCGGTCTGAACAAAATTCTTGTGCCAGGAGTAAATTGTAGGCCTACTGGGAGGTTCCTTGCGATGCTGAGTGCGAAATATCCTTTGAACTTGTGTATCAAGCTTCGTTTCTTCGAACCAAAAAACACAACGAGCACGCTCCGCATATGTGAAAGTAGCCATCTTGATTTCAACTGAGGGAGCGCTCGCGGTGGCGGTATTAGGTACTACAGTATCACGTGCGTGAAACTCTGTTTTTTGCTACATTATGACAGTTCAAAGCGTTGTTTATACCCTCTGTATAAATTTATATAAACTTTATAAAAATGTAAAGCTTTTTTTTAAACATTCTGTATATTCAAGCGCCGCTTAATTTTGCGAGACTTGAGCGTGTGCCATGCACCAGGGTCTACCCTACTTGTTTATTCTGTGTCCGCCTTTTCCAGTATTGAGGAGTCTACACTTCGTAATTCTTTGTGAATACAAAGTAATAGGTCGATATGCGGGGACCGGTTTTTATGGCCCACCCCTTACATGCTCCTTACGGCTGAAACTCATACTCTTCTTTATGGACGACGAATTAAGGGAAGTTTTGCGTAGGATGAGAAAATACGACTTAGAACTGCAACCTGATAAATGTGAAGTAGCATTTTTATAACATGTAATTAAGACGGTGTAAAACCTGATAAGAAATAGGTAGAAGCTGTCAGGAATTTCCCAGTTCCCACATCCACATGGACGCTAAAAAGCTTCTTATGTTTGGCAGGCTACTGCTCACGGTTTTTGTCCAATTTTAGCAAATAGCTGAACCCTTGACACAATTGTTGAAAAAGAACACGCCTTATGTGTGGGATGATAAAACGGACAAGGCTTTCAATACCTTAAAGGAATGCGTAATAACTGAACCGTTGCTTCAGTACTCTGATTTCACGCGACCTTTCTTGCTAACTACAGATGCGAATAATGAAGACACTGAACAGTGTTAAGTCTAGGATCCACAGATAGGCCGTTCCATAGCTTGTGCTAGTAGAACTTTAAATAGTAAAGGCCGTAAAGGCCGCGCTTTACTCCCCAGGAAAATTATTTAATTCCTGGTACTCATTTCTGTTAGAGGCTGTCAATCCCAAGGCCATAGTGCGGCTGAAAGTATTAGGTCAATTGAAAAAAATCCAGTGGCCTCATCGGACTTGAACCCGCAACATTTCCAGCTTGTAGCATAGCCCCTCAACCAACTATGCTAACGCAAGGGTGCAGAACGGAATTACCCAGAAGTAGAAAAGGAATTGTTAGCTATTGTTTGGGGAATCAAACACTTTCGACAAAATCTGTACGGTAGGAATTTTACCATAGTCACAGATCACCGTTCCGTGATATTAATATTCAGTTTGAAGGATTCGAGTTCGAGACACTAAAGATAGAGCTTAAAGCTCGAGGAACTCTATTACGAAGTGAATTACCGTATTTCCGCATGTATAGGCAGCACATTTTTTGCCAAAAATTCAAGAGGAAAACTGGGGTGCGGCTTATATTCGAAATATTCGAACTCACACTTCATTTAAAAAAATTATATTCATAATTAGTAATGCAGGGTGTAATACTCCTGAAATAATGTTCCAAGAAATTTTTTTTTCTATAATTTCTGTCTGAAAATTGTGTTGCGGCCTATACATGCGTAAGTACAGTATAAGAAAAGTTGAGAGAACAAAAATGCAGACTCACTCATCAGAATCCATGTTACTACACCAGTTTCGAAAACGAAGGTAACAAAGCAAGAGCCAGCCAGGAAGATAAGGCGAGTGTTCTCAGAGAAATGCATGAAATCCCGACAGACGGTCATTTAGGAATGAATAGGATATATGAAAGAATAAAGCTGTTTGTATCTTGGCCAGGTATGAAACGAGAAATCGAGGATTACGTAAAATGTTGTTAAATTTGTCAGAAAAAGCGATTGGGGAAACTTGGTTCCGTGGATTAACGTGGTTAAACAGATTTAAATTAGGATTTTTATTTGAATAAATGTTCTTTGTACATTAAGTTTGAAAATTTATTGAAACATTATACTGAAAAATAATTTATTGAAATTACCCAAAACATTCAGTTTGTAGTTACGTGGGCGAGTGGGTTGAGGAGCTTGCTGATTGATTTTGCTCAAGGTTGGTCCATGATAGCTAAAGTAGGAAACGTAGTTCATGCAGGATCAATTGTCCACATATCTTCCAGAGAAACCGAAATAGCGAAGTCGACGTAAACGTCCATTACCATTACGGCTGGGTAAATAATATTCCCACAATGAAGTCATCCATCGCTAAGTAACGGTTGGCTAAACGCTCCCAAACTCCAACGAATAGCCCCGAACACGCATTTCTGTGATAACAATTCACTAAGCTGATATGGTTAGCACGGTAATTACAATGATTCCCGGCGCGAGGCGATCTCGAAAGATCAGAATGGAATCATACGGAAAGGGGGGGGGGGTGGAGTGCCTAGTATCACGGTTGCCTAACAAATATATGTTTCCCACAGTGAAGTCACCCATCACACGACCCACCTTCAGAGGCATCAGGCCGCATGAGCTGATGTTCGGCAGGAAGCCGAATATACCTGGCGCATTATAGAAGGGAGCCCCAGACATGCCTTATACGTATGATAAGTACATAAGGGAACTGCAGTCTAGGCTCAGTCCAGTTACGAATTAGCTAAGAGCAAACTGATAGCTACGATGGAACGAACTAAGGAACAGCAAGACAAAACTGTAAACATTCCTTTGTTTTCAGTTTTGGACAAATAAAGTCTTACTTCAAGAGGAAAGGGTTAGGAGAGTTAAGTCACTGAAACTCTCACCCCCTTGGATAGGACCTTACGAAGTAGTAGACGTCTATGACGTAAATATTACATTAATATTTCCAAGGAACAAGAGCAATACTATCAAGGTAAATGGCAACAGACTAACACTGTTATTTGGCTGATTTCAGGGCCATGCCTGCCTGACTGTGGACCCTCTGCAGCACACTCTTGTTAAACAGACAGCTTCTGTCGACGTCACCATAGAAAAGTACACTGAATCCCTAGGCCTGTATTACGACGCAGGTTCCGCACAGCTGTAGAACACGGAATGGAAAAGTTCACGTATGTAAATCTGGAAGAGGGTAATAAAAATTTGGAAATGGTAAAGAAGTATGCTAGTTTATAGATACATTTTTGCAAGGACCACGACCACGTGTTCTGGATCAATTTCTCTGTATATGAAAAGCATGAGGTATTTGGATAGACAGGTTGAGGAAGTAGAAAGCTTGAAACTACTTGTAAAATAGTTAACCAGAATCGAGGAAGAAGCAATTCATTTGCGTTTTAACTCTATTGGTGGAATTAGCAAAATCTTGTTTCTTACTATGGACAGTGATAATGCATCATATTACAGAGACAAAATTTCGAACTTAGAGAGGGAACAGGCTATTTTTTTTAAACTTTCCGAAGAACAGATAGCAGTGGTAAAATCGACTTTAAGATCTATGAATACATTACGTGACGTATATGCGAACGAGAGGATACTAACAAACAGGATGGAGAACACGGCCTGACATGTTACTGAACACGATGGTGAGATAAAGGGAATGTTTACTTCTACTTCCATGCTGCTTGCGCTAAATGAGCATTCGGCACAAGTACACAGAGCTTTTGGGCGAATGTAGACGGGATTACGAAATTTTAATTGAAGCCATTATATAGTCTCAAAAGGGCACAACTTCAGCCACATGTCAATACACCAGCGCAGATCTTGAATCAGAAGACATAAATGAAGCTGACATTTCGAGGGACGTGACATTGCCAATTCAGTTGAGTGTAGCCTACCATAACTTAGTTTGAGAATTAGTGAATTTGCTGTATTTTTGAAGGACAATTAAGTATTTTGTTTATATGATTAGACTACCGCCAATTAATAATGTGAAATATAGTGTGAACCATATTTTGCCCCTACCAATTAAGATAAGGAATACTGAGTTTAAATTTACATTTACATGGCCAGAATGTGAGTATTTGTTAATGAATATAGCTAAGCAGTTTTGTGCTAGGTTAAGGTTAGACGAATTAAAGGAACGTAAACTGATAACAGCCACCGACTGTGCAAACAAAATTACCCTGTGCAAGTAAAGCATTTAGACGAAGAGCGTGAAGCCTAATTGCTTTATCCCATTAGAAGCGTACCTAGCAGTTGCTCTCAGAGAATGGTAGCACTAAACCAAACAATGTGCTGTGTTCAGGACAACAACCTACGGATGTTGAGATACAAGGCACAGGAAAGCTCAAGTTGCACAGCATGTGAAAGGGCTGAGGGACCAAGGTTCCCATTCAGGCCCAGGTAAACATTACCTCCAACAATACAGGCAAAGACATTATTTCGCCCTTATCCCTTTAATATAACTGTTGCTTGCCTCAAGGAAGACAATCGGCACACAGATTGCAGTGAGTTTGTCAGCCTTACTCGTCGGCCACCCTTTACCCACCAGGAAAATGCATGATACTCATTTCTGTTAAAGGCTGAGTCGAACCCAGGGCCATAATGCGGCTG